AATTTTATGGTGCATTGTGACCCTAACCCTAACCCTAACCCTAACCCTAACCCTAATCCTAACCCTAACCCTAACCCTAATCCTAACCCTAACACTACTTAGAATTTAATTTTAAAAATTAACTATATTTGTATCAACCAATGAGAGTTGGGAGGTATGCAGGCCCTAGCTGCGAGTCATCACGCCATAGTCCGCAAATGCAGACGTTATAACTCCGCTTTGCTAATCTGAGGGTGCGGGTTTATTACCCCATTACTCATTAGACATTACTGATACTGGGGTCTGCGTCGGATCGGACTAATCACGCCCAAGCATAAACAAACGACTTAATTGTAGCTACTTACGTGTTGGTGAACAATGACAACTAATTGAATTATTAACGGCGATGAAACGAAACGCTAACAAGCGTTCTACAGCTTGCCGACAGTTATAATTCGTTAACGCAGCGTGAGTAAATAAAATATCTACAGCGTTCACATGGGATTGGCGTGGTCAGCTCTCATTCGCCGACAAGATACTATCTCATCGCCATCTAGCGAGTATCATTCAAACCTAACAATAAACTGACTGCGTATATAACACTGATCTCTCTAATATAATATTATAGAGATCAGTGGTATATAAAGCGTATCCAGGGGCGGCGCCACAGGGGGGCAGAGGGGGGGCGGTCGCCCCCCCTATCATTTGCAAGAAAAAGGAAAGAAGAAGAAGAAGAAGAAGAAGAAAAAGAAAAAGAAAAGAAAAAAGAAAAAGAAAAAGGAAAAGGAAAAGAAGAAGAAGAAGAAGAAAAAGAAAAAGAAACATCTTGCAAATGTCTTGCAAATGATGGGTAGGGTGGGGGGTCACCCCCCCCCATCATTTGCAAGAAAAGGTAAAGAAGAAGAAGATTCTTGCAAATAATAGGGGGATCGCCCAAAAATGAGTGATGTAGCCTACAAGCTGGACCACTTTCATCGAACAATCGAAAAATCAAGTGTCGAAATAAATTCCATATAAAACCTGTGCTTAATTTGATAATCGATGTC